TATGTCTACTTTTCCTGAGGTCTCCGAGAATCTACGCTGAAGAGTAGAACAAGGCGCAGCTCCGACCACGACTCCACCCCTTAAAAAGGTAGAAAAGTCTAACTATCTAAGTTAATAGAGCACCGTGGTTTTCGGGCCCGGTGTTGTCCATTCCGCTCACCACGTATGGTTTCTCGTCGCCACGTTCGATCGAGGTCAAACTAAGTGTCGGCGCCGACGGTCAAGGGGAAAATTGTGTTACGAAAGTGTCCATCTATCCAAAACAGCAAGCAACCTCCGTACACAAGGAGATAAAGACTCTCGTCTTGACAAAAGAATTCGGTCTCGGGGTATCCTTCTCTCGCACTTCTTTCTCGCCAGGTATGGTCTTTTCTTCTTTCTTGCGTCCCCGATCACGCCTGATGGACAGTCCGCATGTCAGGCTGCCCCTGCGACGCCGCCTCGTCCTCCACGGGCACGCGGCCCTTGCCCTTGCCCAGGAACGGAAAGAAGAAGGCGGGATGGAAGACGGTCAAAGTCAGGACGGCAATGAGGATCATGGCGCCGTCGAGGATGAGGAACAGCGTCTCGTTCTGCATCAGCTCGCTCGCCCAGCCGGTCTGCATCTCGGGGATACTGCGTTTGGTCAGTCATGCCCGATCCTCCGATTGCGAGACAAAGGAAAACAGAAAACAGAAAACAGAAAAAAAAAACATACCGGTAAATGCACCGCACAATAATGGCAATATAGGCACCCGTGATGGCCCAGATGAACTTTTGCACCTTCGGATCCTTGGGCCTGTACGTCTTGCCGGCGGCGCCCGTCCCGACGCGGCCCGACGCAACGGAAGACGACGTCTCGCCGCCGCCGCCGCTGCCGCCCTCGACGACAGCCGTCGCCCCGGCCCGTGCCGCGCCTTCGCTCTTCAGCGCGCGGTGGCGGCGCCAGATGTACAGCAGCATGAGGCCGCCGCAGAAGATCATGTTGGCGACCTGGAAGACGACGCCGGCGACGAGCAGGCCGGAGCCGACGTCGAGCAGGCCCTGGTCGGGGTCCTCGCCGTCGGTGGCGACGGACGAGACGCCGCCGCCGGCAGCCTGGATGACGATGCTGAAAAAGTCGGTGCCGACAAAGACCCAGGGGTAGAGGCGCGGGCGGATGAAGGACCACTGGGGCCCGTGCCACAGGACGAGGTGCTTGAAGGTGACGGAGATGGCGGCGGCGACGAGGGTCGGGCCGAGGATGAGCATGAGCAGCTGAATGACGAAGCCCTCGTAGGACCAGGGGTTGTAGGACATGGCGATGCGGGCGGCGTAGCCCATGAGCTCAAAGGCCGTGCCGAGGGCGAGGTAGGCGGCGAAGGACCACGCCTTGGAGCGCCAGCCGAGGTAGACCTGCGCCGCGAGCAGCAGGGCGTGGGCGGCGACGAAGAAGGCGCAGGCGCCGGTCGTGAAGTAGTCGCGTAGACGGTGGCCGAGACGGGGCAGCGGTCCGAGACGCCGTCGCAGGTTGTGTAGCTCGGGGGCTCGAGATCGGGCGTCGAGGAGGACATGCTGGCGGTCGTGGTTGGAGCCTCTGGGTGGTGTCTTGGTGAGTGTCTTTGCGAGAGGAAGGAACGTTGCGATCGTGGGGGGAAAGTAGAGAAAGAAAGAAAAAAAGGAGCAACAATGACGAGCTGTCGAGACGAGCTAGGCTGCCAAGTGAGGAAGGAACTAGTAAACGAACGGTCAGGCCCTGGAGGCGGAGTATAACGCCCGACAGCAGGAGTCCTTCGATGGGATGAGACGCCCGGAGGAACTGGATGAACAGGGCAACAGCAAAGCAATGCGAGCTAGCGGCAGAAAGGGCCAGTACTTATTCGAGAGGACAGAGTAGGGAAATGGAGCAACCTCTCATGAGCTCGGCTGCGGTATCAACAATCTAAGGTCGCGGCCAAGGGGCATGGTGTTGTGTGGTGCTTATAGTCTATCCTCATGTTCATTATCGTATTTGGGACGGCCGGGATTCAGAACACACCCACAGGGGGGCAAAAGAGCTTCCTTCCTCCGACCGCAAAGGGAGTGACCCTGTGCGAAGCGCTGCCAAGAATTTCAGTCCAAAAGAATACTGTCGTCGTCAGTGGTGTGGGGAGCGGGAGGCGACAGGCAAAAAGCCAAGAGGCCAGATGACGCGGGTCGTCATTTGGTGCCGCATGGGGGAGGATATGGGTGATCGCGATACATGTGGGAGTGTACAGTATGCTCTGCCATATGAAGTGTAAAGTAGGTAGCTGTGCCAGATGGAGTATCGAGTACATAGGAGAGGTACTTCAGCTGAGCCACCCCAAGGCAGTGCCACGCCCAACCGCGCAGGCAGATATGCCATACTCCTCCATCGAAGCCTGTGAACGCCCGCAGACAGCGGCCGTGTTGATAGGGAAGTCGAGGTTCCGCCTGTGCAAATCACCTGCCAGGAGAAAAGAGACAACCATCCTGACTGACCCCACCGGGCATCACCCACTTCACCGTACTTGAGGCCGCCCAATCTCGAAGCGAGCATGATCCACCATTTCGAGTACGAGATCTACGAGTGCGAAGGGGCGGGAAAGAGGAAGGATAACAAAAAGCCAAGTCTTGCTCATCCCGTGTCTGTACCACGTCGGGGCGGCCATCTCGAAACCCGGTCCTCACGGCGCGCCTATTGGACCCAGGAGGGGACGCAGATACGGACAGTCGGCGCGATGCAAACACCGTGCCCACGCTGCGTAGGCCAGCGAGCGGCTCAGCGCGCGTAGGGATGTGGCGTGCTGAGAAACGGGGGGCCTGCCGCCCCGTCGCCGTAGGGCTTGGCGACTGCCGTGCTTTGTTCCGATTGGAAGATGCAGGGGGAACCAGCCTGGGGCTAGTGGTGCAGAGCTCGTAAATTCAAATCCGTTTTGTCGTGTTGGGACATCTTGTCGTCTGTGACGACCTCAACTCTGGTCTCTAACCAGCTGTCATTTTTTGCAAGTGATGGGGGTTACGCGTCGTCTGAGCCCCCTTATTGAAGCCTATCAATATGCTGTGAAACGTCAGAGCTACCGCCCCTCGCCATGGATCCTTCGCCCTTTATCCGCCCACTACGGTTCATCTTTCTTGCCTCATGACGAGAAGCACAACGCAGATGTGTCCGCGTGCCAAGACGTGTCATACGCCCGCACAGCGCACCATCATATAGCGCGTTGGACTTCACCAGCAGCTCAGTTCCAGCGGCTACAGCTCATCGTACATACCTAGTTACACGAAACGTGCAATGGCCGTCCAGAACGCCTGAGGATCCTCCCACATGGGCAGATGCCCCGTATTCGGTACAATGCTCAGCTCGACACCCTCCTGGCCGACGCTGCCTCGGAACCCTTCCATCGCCTTGACGAGTGCGCCCTTGCCGTCGCCGTCGCCGACAACGAAGAGGCCCGGCACGCGGCACGCCCCGAGCTGCGGCCTGAGGTCGTAGTCCCAGAGCGCCTGGCAGCCGTATCGGAAGCCCTCGACGCTGTTGGCGCCACCATGTCCGTCATGAGGTTGACGATCG